TTAAAGAATAGGCCTGACATCATACGTGCCCTGTTGACCGAAGGATTCTCCACGAACACCCGTAAATATGTCACCAAGTGCAGACAGACCGTTATCCAGCAGGCCCTGAGGGTTTGCACCTGCACACCTTTGATGCCATGAGGTCATCCTTTCAGAGACATTCTCCTGATTTGCTGCTTAGAAACATTCAGAGCCTATAAATAATAAAGTACCAGTTTATCCTAGGTAAACAAAGCCATCACTGTTAGGTTCTGTCAAAACACTCTTTTAAGTTGTCTGTTTCATTTCGATCCAAAAACTTGAGTAAAAAGAGAAAATGCTCATGTTTACAAATTTCATGAAGACATCTCATTAGTTAGAGTTTTGGGCCGTGAACAGAAAGCAGGCACAAGCACATTGGCCTTTTTTATTTAGTTGAGATAAACATTCAAATAACCATGTAGGTAAATAGATGAGACTGACCCCATTAATGTATAGATTTCACATTTATTTTTCAAAAGAGCGGATAAATCACTCTGGAAACAAAAGCAGCTCTGCAGACAACCATGACATTCAATATGAGGTCACATCTGCAGAGTCATATTGGTTAAAGAATAGGCCTGACATCATACGTGCCCTGTTGACCGAAGGATTCTCCACGAACACCCGTAAATATGTCACCAAGTGCAGACAGACCGTTATCCAGCAGGCCCTGAGGGTTTGCACCTGCACACCTTTGATGCCATGAGGTCATCCTTTCAGAGACATTCTCCTGATTTGCTGCTTAGAAACATTCAGAGCCTATAAATAATAAAGTACCAGTTTATCCTAGGTAAACAAAGCCATCACTGTTAGGTTCTGTCAAAACACTCTTTTAAGTTGTCTGTTTCATTTCGATCCAAAAACTTGAGTAAAAAGAGAAAATGCTCATGTTTACAAATTTCATGAAGACATCTCATTAGTTAGAGTTTTGGGCCGTGAACAGAAAGCAGGCACAAGCACATTGGCCTTTTTTATTTAGTTGAGATAAACATTCAAATAACCATGTAGGTAAATAGATGAGACTGACCCCATTAATGTGCACTGTACCTCTGTGTGTGTGTGTGCGTGTTAGGGGAGGGAGGGTGAGGCATGGGGCAAAGGCATTTAGACTGTATCCTGCCAGGTGATTATAGTCCATGCCTGGCACTGACAGTCAGGACAGATGGCATTGCAGTCCTATCATTGGCACATCACAGGGCATGTCTACACTAGCTGTGGTCCGGCCAGTTTACACAGAGGTGCAGAAGGTTCAAGTCCAGCCTGAATTCCCACTGTGGTATACTTTGGCTTCGGGGTAAAAGAGGGGCGATAGTTAGCGAGGCACATATCATGTCACCAGTAACCTTTTAACACGGACCAGTTTAAAAAAATGTCCTGGTTTTTGATGTTGCATCAAGTAAACCTTCTCCTCCCGTCCCTCTCTGAAAGTTTACAGTTGTCAGAGTTCCAACTAACAAACACATTTAGATGATGATAGAACTCATCACAGTACGATGCACGTGACTCAACACTGCATACAACTGACAGCTGCAACCTTCAATCTGAGGTGAGAGTTAACTCGACTGACTCTGATCATTTTCTTTTTTTGGACCCAAATACTTACATACACTACCTAAAACGGGTCATTTACCCATGGGGTCACCAACTAAAAAGTCATAAATGATGGGGATTACTACTATATTACTGATAATTATGATTTGATCCTCACAATTTTGGAATCCAGTTATGGTCTATTTTTGTTAAAATTTGAAAATTCTCTATGGCAAAGTAGGCATTAATTTAAACTTGGAAAATTGTTTGGGCCCAATGTAGTGCCAGTTGTCCATGGGGTGAAAAAGTAACCCAACATATATATTAAAATTATACAGTACTTTCAGGTCATACTGCACACATACATTCCCACATATAAACACTGGCTGTAATTTGTGCACTTTTCATCTTTGTAGCTCATGATAATAAACATGTGCTTTCCTTATGTGTATTGGTATCAAACTGCAATTAAAAGAAACTCACACATGTACAGACACACACACACACGCCTAACCACATAAAGGAAGCCCTGCCACACAGCCCCAGACAGAGAGGCCATTGAGTGCCTGTGTTTGTTTAAATGGTCGTAAGTCTTCTCGTCAGGCCTGGAGAGGGAGAGATGGCGTGCAGTGAACAAGGCGGAAGACACACAGGGCATCCAGGAGGCAGGTTTATGTGAGTGACTGAGTACGTGAGTGAGTGAGTGAGTGACTTGGCGGCTAAAAGTTCAATAAACAGTGACCCATTTGATAGGAGACGAGGGCAAACAGAGGTTTAACTACAATTGAAGTCATGCTTCAGAAACACTCTTCAGCCTCTACCTCGACCTACTCTCATACAGCCCCTCATACTACAGCACACACACACACTGTCTTTTTATTAATGTGATGTTTCTGTCTCTAAGGACAACCACGTTTGCTGCTGTCCCCATATGCCACGGGTCACCAGAGGACCAGGCATTTTCTGGACAGACACCTTGGGGACGGGACAGTAAAAATCACATTTTTGTCTAACATTAGTTGATGTTTGATTAGCATTTTTAAAATAAGTTAAATGAGTAAAATCTCTTTAATTTATTTAAACTGTTCTGAATATAAATATATTCAGGACTGGTGTTTATATGTAACAATGAAATTATTTTTATATAATCTTCTTAAATGGGAAATTTTCTGATTATGACACAATAGTATAGCACACTATGGGATATATTTTATTTATCAAAGGAAATGAAACATAAATTGAGAATATTACAGCTTATTACATTGTAAAAATTCGCTCTATATTTACTGCGATTTCTGGTGGTTCTACACAAATCAGGTTCATGAAATGCCCCCTCTGCCGAACTGGGTTGGACTGCCGTTATGTATTTTTCGGGAACAAAGGAGTGAAAAACTGTGTGACCAAAGCCTGTCTTCACTCCTGTAAATCTTGTCTATAGGTGGAGCTCCACCACCTACTCCCAGGGGACAAGGAAGAAGTGAGAACCGCAGTAACACGGCTCTCACTGCTCACTGTATCGCCCTGAGCTTGGAGCTCTTCTAAAGGAGACACAAAGAAACAGATGTAACACAACCGTGCACACACAAACCTGTACACCTGTACATTATGTCTCTCATTATTTGGCTATGTCTGCCTTTCACACACAACCAATTAGGAGTTGTGGAGCCCTGGTCATATCTTCTCTGCCCTTTGTGAACCATGTGAATATCCTGACTGAAAGGGAAACAAAAACACACAGAATGAAAAGTGACTGAGGTGTCCAGATTATTTTCAAGGATTCAGAAGAATAGTCCTTTGTCATACTGTGCATACGTGCTTTTGAAATTCTCATTTTCACGCCACAGTGATAAGGCATGTAGTATTTCAGAGACTGGACTTTCCGCTGCAGACGTTACTACAGAAATAAATTCAACTAAAAAATAGGTCCAATAGAGGAAGTGCTGACTGAGTGCTCTTTGGGTCATCCTCAGTAATGGGGGCATTGATTTTGGAAAGAGACACTGCTGTTGAATCTTTAAATTCCTTTCTTTAGTGAGCCCTCCTACAAATACCATAAACCACATTCACTTCCTTTGTGTTGGGCTAAAAGCAGGGACATCCAGGATGGATTAGTCAAACACAAGCCAGATAAACATCCAACAGCATGACTAAATTCCAAATTCTTAAGTGGAAGAAAATGTTTTGTTTAATGCGTAAAGACCGAGCGTTTGTAAACTATTTTATCACTGCAGCAGTAATCCTCACGGCAGAAAAAGAAAAAAGAATTCAGATAGCAACACATTAAGAGGGAAATTACAAATTGCAGATCAGTGCTGAACAAGTCTAATTACGGAAAATCTCTTCACTGCGAGAAAAGCTTGCGTAAACAAGCCAAGAAGCTCAGAACAAGTGTGTAAATCCTCCAGTGAGTATTTCACAGCTCACTTCACATCGTGTCAGCTGTGCTTGTTGACAACATCTCACTGTTAGCTTCTCTGCTGTCTGTGTGGCCCCACAAGTTCACCCTCTCCCAGCATCTGCAAAAATGAGGGCCTTATTAAAACAATCTTCCCAATTAACATTCCTGGCCCCTGGAGCCCTGCAGACCCTCCCCCTGCTCAACAGACCTGACCCCTTCTCTGCTCTCCGATGACAAAGGAGCTATGTTGGAGCCAGAGCAGTCAACGGACTCTGAGAAAAAGTTGTGTGAGGTGGCTTGTTTTATTACTGGTTAGTTTGTCTGATCTTGCCATTCCTTAGCCACATGCAGCATCCATGCATGATCACACCCCCCTCTAACTCATAAAGTCTTTCTTGAAAATGTCACTGGTTACCTATAAAACCATGTTCTACAGGAAAACATACACTGCTGTTATAAATCAAACGAAAAGTAGCTTCTTTTTTATTGACTTTCTGTATATAATAAACCAAATAACCAATGAAACCTGTACTGCACCTTCAGTCTCCTGCTGTCAACTCACTGGAGCCTGCTGATGGTACTTGGTACTGTCATATTACTGTATCTGTAAAGATGACTGATGTGTTTCCAAACCTGGTCTGCACAAATTCACACTCATGAAAGAGTTGTAGCTCCGACTGTTGAACACTGCTGAATGGACGTCCTGATCACCTTCTCAGCTCCAACGTGATCTTTTCGACTATGAAGAATCTCAAACCTTGATAATACTGCAGCACACTACACAGTCTTTAGCTAAAAAAGAGGGGGGGGGATCAAGTTAATTTCTCATGTGTTCAGCATTTCCTCTTTGCACGCTTTAAAGTAGGAGAATAAATCCAGTGTTCAGTGAGGCACAGCGATGACACGGTGCAAAGATCAGAGCTCCAAATGTAAAAAAGGAACAGCAGGCGCATCATGTTTTAAAGCACTACATATGTTGGCACAGATTTGGCTGTACGCTCCTGTACAGAGACATCTGAAAAGAGGATTGTTGAGTTGGCACTTCATATTGTGTTTCCAAAGTGACAGCGATTAAACTATGACTCTATGACTTTTTTTTTTTTTTTTTTTTGCTGAATTTTTGTTTTAGTTAGTCATTTAGGTCTGGAGTTCTTTTAAACTGCTCCTGTGTCAACAGAGATCTGTGTCCTTGGTTTAACGTAGTTGTTATTTTTTGCGCAAAATTTGAATAAAATATAAATGTTTAAACCATGAATGTGTTTTACAATTCAAATGACTGGCTTAGCAGTAAATGCTGCAAATTCAGATTGATGTGAATTGACAGGCAGAGTGGGTTGCTCACAGCTCTAAGCAGGAAGGGGTTCTGTAAACGGAACCTTTCAGCCTGCTCACTCACACCATCAGAGAAATTACCTCCATAAACACATCACACTTTCCTGCAGACTGCCATTTGACCTTCACTGCCTTCGCTTTTTGGAACACCAACATCTGCGGCAGATCTTTTCACGACTTTATCAGCCCAAGATCCCACAGAGCGGATAACGCACAGATAAGGCATGTGCATGGTTGTCTAAAACCAAGTTTCAAAAACAAAAGATATAATATTGACAAACAGAAGTGACTGATGGAGTGTTAGTCGATGGAGGTGCAGCGCAGACAGGACCAGGGTAGCGGAAATGAGATCCTGGTGTGGAACTGCAGAGACGACTGAAAACAAGGCTCTGGTTTTGCTGTCAGAGATAATAGGAATCACAAACGTTCAAACAATCTCCTGCTAACTCTGCTGAGCTCCACTTTCCACTGGTGAATAAACAGCGTCCATTGTTTTCAGGATGTGCGAAATACAACTTACTAATGCATGTCTAATAAGATCCAGTGGAGGGGCGGGGAAGGGGAGATCTATGTAGCATAATGTCAAGCAGTCGGATTCAAAGCAAAGGTTGAATTTGCTTTTCTTACATCTCAAATTTGTGAAACGTAAATAAAAGAAATTATATATAATACTGTTGTTCCCGAACTTTTCCATGTCAAAGGCCCCCAAAACAATACCCCCTTTACAAACCCACAGATAATGCTACAGAACATGTAAAGAAACATGAACTTTTAGAATGTTTTTTTTTAACTTTTATTCAATATTCAACATTTGTTTAGCATTAGCCTACATGCTAGGTTGAGGAGATGAGAAGCTTCATAAGAGGCAAGAACAGCCAGTTCTACACAGATTATTTCTGTATTACCAGATGCATTCAGGTACCATCGGAAACTTGAGAATGCAGCAATTATGCTAGTTGATGTTTTGTACAGTTGGGGACAATTGTAAATGGTTAAAAAAGGAAAAACTAATTTTTAAAAAAATATTTTTTCCTATCTTCTGTCAAATTTTCTTAGGTCCCTCTAGAGTCCCCCCCACTTTGAAACCCACTTGTCTAGTACACTTAGTTTCTAATCAGTTATTATGTTAATCTGGTGGATGTTTAGAAATAGGAAGGGAGAGAGAGGGAGCATGTGTTGTGGAGAACAGTGTGGTCATAAACTTGGATTACATCAGCGGCTGTTGCAGGGAGGTAATATGATAGCGGCTGTGTAGAGAGAAACAGGCGGACACACAGGAAAATGGGAAAAGGGAAAAAATACAAGGGGATCCAATGCAATGTTACAGCAGATCCCTCAGCCTTTCGTCATGGCCACTTTCATTTCCACCATGCTGATCTCTCTGCAATCACTTTACCAGGCACAGGGGAACCAGGGAGAAGAGGAAGTACCAGGGAGGGAACAAAGAGGAGGGAAAGGTTTTACAGATTAGAAACAAGTCTGGAGGTGTAAGGGGGTCCTTCAAAGATTTAGGGCACCGGAATGTTAAAGACTGTCAGACAAAGCAAATAAGGGTACTGTGATCCAAACATGTGCTGCGTTTCCAGAGGGGCACATCTTTCTCTGATCAGTTTCTTTGTCCCAATTTCAATGGTTGCCACATGGGCTGTAAACTGTACCAGCTGGACCAGATGAGATGAAAAGATGTCCATATCCTTATCTAAGAGGGCATCTGCTACAGTGAGAAGAGGAACCCAAGTGAACAGAACGAGAGAACGAAATAGAGAGCTGAAATTTTATCTTTAACACTTGTCTTCGAGGAGAGTGTGTGAACACTGACATGTGTCTATACGTGTCTATAGCTGCACAGCACTTCACACACACTCGTCTAATTGTCCAACATGCAACACTGAGCCGGTTGGATGCCAATATGAAAGTTTTGTACGTGTGCCAGAAGTCACTCTGATCCCTGTGAAATTGACACTGTGTCAAATTTCCAAACTGATTTTAAGCCCCGGGTTTTAAACACCTATATTTTCATTAGATGAAGTAAAGACAAAGAGAAGTTTTGCCTCATTGTTTTATGGGATACTTTGCTACTGTTAACACGGCTCAGACATCCTGGTAAGGTGATTTATGACCCCTCTCCCAAGGGTATAAAGCCACATCCCACAGCCGGGGAAATTTAATGCTACTGCACCGACATTGTTCACAGAGGACTCTAAAATATCTGCTAGATTTATAGAAAGGGGAGAAAAATCCTTTGCTCCTCTGAGGGACAGCTTTTTTTTCTGTAGTGAAGCTTGGCAGCCAGAGACTGATAAATTGAGTTGGGTGCCGAGCTGGATTTTATCTAAACATGTGATGATTTTGGTTGCTGTACTTTCTGTCTTCACCGTCTTTTTATCTATTTCTTTTTCCAAGTTCAGGTTCGCCTTTCAATATTACCAAAGTTTTGTGCAGTTCAAGAAATAGTTGTTTGATGAAAAAGGAAGTCAAGGCTTAACAAGTCTTGAAAAGGATAAGGTCAAACTGAAAACAACAATAAGAGATGATGAACATCTGCCATTCACTGTTTCCTATTAAATACTAAAAAAATCTAATCCTATGTCAGGCCATCAGCCTGAGGGCAGAAGAGAGTTTTTAAAATTATGAAATAAATATATCTAAACGTACATTATAATCACATTGAAGATCTTCCTCTGAGAGCTAGTCCTCTTGGAGAGAGAAGATGCTCAAGTTAGGTTTTTATAAAAAACAATTATAATAAACTTTATAAAGATAAGCCTCTGGTATGTCTCAACTGAAATGCAATAATAACAACTTATCTTCTTTAGCAACTGCTGACCTGACCACATCATTTTTGTTTTGCAACATTATCTTGCCTAATATTTTCAGGTATTTTTTTAAATGTGTTTTTATCTTTATTTTCAATTGTCCCTCAAATAAACTCTGACCTGTTTGTTCTATTATTTAGCCCCTCCCTCTCTCCTACACAGCTTAACTAAGCAGGTGTCTACAGGGACGACCACTCAAAGCAGGAACCTCCAGTTCACCCCTACATAAAAAGAAGAAGCCCTCGTCAACATGCCAATTCCCGACACCATGTGGTCCGGTCCAAAGCCCTGGTGCATCTTAGACGGATTGAGTTGACAGGCAAAAGACAATCCCATCTGGAGCAGAAAACAGTCTATGAGGGAAGAGGAGTGGGCAGAAATGTAAGAAATGGAGTTGAAAGATTTTGAAGTATGACTTAGTGAGGATCAGAGGGGGCAAAACATTGACAGATAATGATAGGACACAGCACTGCTGAGGCATGTAGGAGCCGCTTCAACCAAACCATAAGAAATTAAGTAAACAAGGTCAGCCTTAATGAAACACAGCAAATGACGTCACAGTTTTTACATCCAGTATCGATAAGTTCTGATAAGTAGTTGTTTGAGGTTTGGAGTCACGTTTAAACAAGGTTCAAAAATGCTGTGGTGTGCGGTTGCTGGTACATCTCATTAGCAGCTGCTGACCCGACCAATCGACTGCAGTCATGGTGCAGCAGAGCTGATGAATAGAACAAGCACACAAGAAAACAAACACAGAATAGCTTAGTGGCAGTAAACAAACCTTTTTGCACGACATCAAGAAAGACAGAGTATTAAATCAACAAGCAGGAGGGGAAGGATACCCCCACCACCATTATCAGCTACCTCAGTATCTCTTCAACAAACTAAACATCCTCAAGTCAGGACTGAGTAAGCAGATACACGCTACCCTCTGTTTTGTTTTTGTTTTTTTCTTGCTCTCTTGAGATTAGAATGCCTCGCGTGCTTCACATGAGCAGACAATTTACCTCCAAATGATGCTACAACCTCAACTTGGAGTAAATCATCAACAAAATCCATGTTTTTTTTTTTTTGAAGGTTAAAATATGCTAACAATGCTCCGATAAGAGCGTGTGCTGCTAAATAGCTACATTGTCCTCAACAAAGGGAGAAAAGCTTTACCCCGACCAGGATGTGATGGGACTTGTTGGCGTTTTGGAGCAGAAGATGAGGGTGTTTAGCTAGTTGTGGAGAAAATGTTCAAATAAAGCAGTGTTCACTTCATGCGGGTCAGACCTTCCAGACAGGGCATTTGGGTAACCTAAATAGTTGTTTCCTATTTGTATTTTGTTTTCCTGGATGTTGATATTGGTTATCATAGGCTTTATGGGCATGAGACCATAAAACCTATTTCAAACCTATATTTCAAACTAGTTTTGGTCACAGTGATGTCAGCTTTTTGTTAGCTTTAGTTTAAGACCATGTCAGGGCACAGGAAGTCTGCAGGCTACGGAGAGTCGTCATCCCACCTGATCTGCATCTTAATGGAATGTTCACTTCAAGCTGGCACAGCCGGGTCACATTATGTCAAGCAAAAACACTGCGAATCACTGCACACATTTTATCTTAAACAAGACATCACATTCCCCCGGACCAACTGAATTTGTACACAAAGTTTGGAGCTGATTACAACTCCCTCTTCCTCTTCCCTGCAGCATCAGAGTCCACATGCCTTCTATTGTCTAGTACCCACCATGTTGTCTGTATCTTTGACAGATAACATCTCACAATCCCTCTCTACAGTGCTGTGGTTTTGCTGAGACCGTCAGAGCCTGTGGGAGGCAAAGCACCTGCAGAACAGACAATAGCAAATGTGCCTATAGATTCTGGCCGCCTTTGAAGTGGGGATGGATGCAAGTCCAATACCCCTCTTTTATCATACCCTTCAATCTGTGGTTTCACCACACAGCCTTTATGATGACAGGCTGTTTTGAGATGGGACAACTAGAGCTTTTTAAGAGCATTCAAGTATTTGGTTGACCAGCCATTCCACATCTGACAAGGTGTTCATATTGTCATTCAAATAAATACTTGAAAAAAACATGTCTAAAGAGTCTGTATATAAAGCTATGCAACATCCTAGATTGTGGATTGGTTAAAAAAAGTCCAGATAAGTGAGTTAAAGTAAGCTAAAATAGTAAACTAATAGTATGTTCTGGTTGAACCAAAACAAATAGCAAAATTACAAGAGCGATGTGCTGCAAATTTACCATGGTGTGTGCGGAAAATAGAGAATGTCGACCTTAGCTCTGTAGTGTGTTTGGAATAGCTAGAGAAAACATCCAACACGCATAAAAAACTTTGCATTCTTAGTGCTGTAACTTAGCAATGTCTCATATCATTCCTTCTGGTTTTGTTGTTTGTTGTGCTGCTGTCCGCCGGCCTACTAAACATTAACAAGCTATGAAATATGACACCCTAAAAACAACTGATGTTTTTAGACTTTATTTTTACTATGGAGATATTTTGAATTATTTATTGCTGACTGATTTGACATTTGCAACTCACTGCATCCATCCCTCTCCCAAAGCTATCATTATTTTATCTTCAGCTCCTGCTTTTCTTGATTTTGTTTTCCTCGTATCACATTTTCTGCCTCTACCAAGCTATCTCAAAGCCAACCTGACTGATAAATAACACAACTATGCTGGGAAAAATATAATAGAGAAAAAAAAAGAAACATACTCTGGGAAATCAAGGCAGCGTGACCCTGATTGACTGGTGTTAAAGTGGCCATCTTACCTCTTGACAAGGCTACAACGAGGCCAAGCGTGTGGAAACCATGACTAGTCAACAGAGACATCCGAAGCATGTCAGTTCTAGAGTCAGCTCTGTCATCATGTGGCTAAAAACTCAACAGTGTTGTCCTCACAGTCCCGGCGTATGACCATGTGTCTGTCACCATCCATTTTACAATTGCTCCCTAACTACAGACTGCTGAAGCACAACGAGTACCTTACAGTACATCTCAATGGTTTGCCCTGCTTGCCTACTGTATGTGCGTGATACTTCAGCAGCCATTGAAGGCCACTAGCCAACACAAAAATAAATCTTCTCTCAGTAGAAACAGACAAGGCCACGCAATACATTTATAAACTGTGATGAGTTATAATCTGTCCGCCTGTTTTTTCCCCCCTTTCATCAACCTATCATATCAAGCTAATATAATACCCTGCAGATCATGTGACTCGAGACCCTTTTTGAGAAAGATTGCAAGACTAAAATAAAGTGATGGTTCCCGACTTTTGGTTCCTGAATTTGCTACAAATGCCAAATAGCAGTAATGTGCAAAAAATTCCAGTAATGTATTCCCAAATTTTGTGCCTTAGAGTGAGCCAGTGATACAAACAGAATTCATTGTTGAGGGTGGGTGAGGTAAGGGCTGGAAGAGAACAACCTGAATGATGTAGTAGGAACAAAAAAAGAATAATGCCCAGACTGGAGAAATCCTTCACCTGCTCATCTGTCTGCTTGAAGCCCTCTGTCACTGCTCCATGCATTCATCCTCCTCCGCCCACATCCTCTAAGAGACCATAATGGGCCCCAGACTAATGCAATAACAATATGATTAAAACCAAAATGGACAACTCCCAACTACTGTCTGCTCATGATCAAACAATAGAGCACTCAATGCACTGATATGATGTGTGAGTGCTTGCTCTTGCATTTATACTTTGTGGGTTTAGTCTGAGCGAAGTAGCAGAGTTGACAGGTCCAGCCAGTAGATCTTTGACCTGTGGCCTGAAGGCCCAGCCTAAGACAGCAGAGCTGGTTTGCAGTTAGTTCCTCCCCTTGGCACAGATTTTTTGGCAGGTCGCAGTGTAACACAAAGGCCACAGGCACATGGACCTGATCCAGGATGCCACGCTTGGTTTGAACTCTCACTTGACAAAAGAGGAAAGGAAAAAAAAAAGAAAATCTCTGTATAAAATTCCTGGGAGAAATGCAGCAGAGGAACAGTCCAGTTAGTGGCACGCTGCAGTGCAGTCTGAGAAATTAAAGTCAGATTTTTACTCTAACAGGATAATTTAGCTCCTGGTAATATTTTCTCAGTGGAAATATTTGCTTCCAACATCCCGTTGTACGAGGTAAATTGCTTTCACAATGGCACGTTTGTTATAACCTCAATATATTTGTCTTCTTCTGTCCATTTTTTTTTAAAGAAACCAAAAGAAAATTGTTCTTGGTTTCTGTGCTGCCTTGTTTTCCCCAGATTTCTGTCACAGCTATTATTTCATGAAACCTGACTCCTGTCTTTCTGTTTCTTTTCAATTTCCTTTTTCTTCAAAGCCTGCGTGTTCCCTACTCCCACCTCCTACTGTAGCACAGAGCCGAGTGAGCCAAAAATATCTGTAAACCAAAAAATCTCAATTCCGCATTTGATCACACGTACAGTTTGTAAAGAAAGTAGCAGCTAGTGATTTTCCTGGAACAATTCAAGACACAGAATCCTGACATCTAACTCTAGCATCACTCTGTTTTCTTTGTTGTATGTTTATTTATGTCCTCAGCGTTTGTGCTTAAGCTCCGGTTTCGTACAGTTAACATGGGCTCGGGACACTAGATAGCAGTAGCTGACAGGCCCTCCCAGTATTTCCTTTTCCCACAGATTATATTCATCCTAATGTGGCAGAAGAAAGCAGCTAATTGACCTGGAATCAAAGTTAATTGGCTTGCATTTAACTTCTTCCTGTCCTCGAGCAGGACAGACACTGGGGGAATATTTGTTGGCCCACTTCAGAGAGCACCACCACCAAACAGAGGTAATCAGCAAATGGAAGTGTGATACTGAACTGCTGGGTGTGGTGGGCCTCTGGCTGAGCTGCTGGCTACAGACAACCTGACTTGTGCTTGCCAGCACACTGTAGACACGGCTGATGGATATCTGTGTCTGCAGCAGTTCCCATCACACAGAAAAACTCATTCACTCGCTGATCTTCCTACTGTTTCCCAGTGAATCATTTTCAGGTTTTCTTTCCGGTAGACTTGTTACAATAAAAACACAAACTGGGGATCTGCACACAGAGAGTGAGTTTAGGACTCTGTGGGTTTTTATTTTGTCTGTGTCATCAAGGACATAAATCAAACATGAAAACAGGGGAGTGAATTTGTGCTGATCACTCAGGTTCTTAGAAAGGTTGGGTAGCAAAAATGGTACGAGTGTAAAGCAGTCGAGAAACCCTGTTGACTTCTTAATCCTACCAGAAGATGCTCTCTGAATCTTGATTCTGCCTCAAGGTTTACTTTCACGTTAACATGCAACTCAATAAGACGCTTCATGCACGTCATTCTGACCAGTTGCCCAGTTGACTGCCACCTAGTGCAGTTAGGTGGGAACCTGTAGGGACCTGTTGTATGATTAACAGTGATGTTAGCATGATAAACTAGCACATCCTTCACAATACCACAGACACTGATCAGGTCCATCTTGCTATTTTACCTTCACTAGTAATGGGCAATACCAGATTCTATGACAATTACTGCACTGTGTGGTACTACTAGTGATACCCTTCGACGGACACATCTTTACATATCGTATAACTTGTCTAATCAAATGTCTATGTATTGGTTAATCTAGGGCTCTAACTTGTAAACAAAATCTTTGATGTAGCACGAGAGCCTTCTGTGAATAATGCACTAATGGCCCGGAGAGAGACATTGACTTTTATTTATCTCCGATCCAAGAATGTAGTGAAGTAGATAAGAGACAAACTAGAGCAAGCCATTCAATTTGATCTATGAAGAGACAAGGCAGTAAAGTCACTCTACAGGATGATGAGTAATAAAACAAATGAAGCAAGACTCATATGCTACTTGAGCCATTGTGGCTACATGACCTATATCTTTAGGCTGGAAGAATGCTGATCCTTATCTAATGTAGGATATGACCTGAGGACAAGACAAGTCACCCTGGCACACACACACACAAACCTGTAATACAGTGTATTCTTCTCATTCGGTGTGTTCATAGGCACAGTAGGGAGCCTCGGAGCGAGTTCATGTGGCGCTTCAGTGACAGCAAAAGAGTTTAAAATGTTTCACATTCTACAAGGAGAGTCCTAAGGTATCTGATGGGAGCTGGGACAGGGTTACATTAAAGGCATCTCTGTGAAGCCTCAGCACTTCACAGCACAGGATCCCAGTCTCTGTTTTCCCCTTCCAGACAGATGCCAAAGTCATTGTTTTTCTGATCCTGGGTTTCAGAAAGAGAACTCGATCCCACTGGCTGCCGCTGTCAGCAGTGCCGCCTCCCCCCTTATCCCTGTCATTCAATCCCATCTCTCCTCCTTTCAGGACTGCACTTCAGTCCCTCTTTGCCTATTCTCCCTCCCTCTTTTCTCTGGACCATGGTGCCCTAGGCAGTCTGGAGGAAGTGTGTGTCTGGTTGCCCTAGATCTATTCGTTCTCTCTGAAACAGGATACAGTGACCTCCTGTGTGTCCAGTAGGCCTGATCTCAGGCCCCTGCCTGGTAAGTGTCAGGGATTGAAAACCTGCGAGAGAGTGGGGGAGGAAACTTGATGGCTGTTCAGGAGACAAGCCAAAAGCAGGAACGTGACACACTGTAGAGGAATGATATGAAATCTGCAGCGAAAGGACCAGCAGGGGTGTTCTGAAGGGAATTCATGTTTACAGCTCCTCAACACACCGCCATCAGATCTGCTTTTCTGTTTTTATTCTCTTAAAACTGAAGGAAGACAGACAGGATCGCTGCTATGACTGATACAGAGTTGTAAGTAATCCCAAAAACCCCTTCAAGATTAGCCGTTCATTGAGATCATTCTTATTTATATGTTTTTCAAATACACCATGACAGGTTTTCAGTGCTGCGACCAAACCACACACTTCTCATTAAGGCACCAAAACCAGAGAACAATTACAGGGAGGGGAGGTATGGGGGGGGGGGTGGGCTGCTTCATTAAAAACAGGATTTATATATAGTACCCCCTACCTTACCAGACATGACATCCTCTCTGCTCCCCACATTAGCATAATCTACGCTCACTGTGTGAGCTACAATTTGTATGGAAAATCTTTCCCCCCACAGGTTTATTATTGAGTATGTGTCTATTAAAAAAATCTGAATTACCATCACAACTGGCTCACTGTAATGTACAGTGTTGGCAGTCTTTGGAAGAGTAATTGGATCCATTAAGGCAGTGAAAAATGAAAGAAAAAAAAAAGACTATAGGATGCAGATTCTTTTGTGTGAATGTGCCTCTGTGACCATGTGGATTTCTGAAGAAAAAAAAAAAAAGCCAGAACATGTCAGTTTCTCCAGACTCTCCAAGCTCCAGCAGAACAATGGTTAATAAGAACTAGTTAATATGAAGAAAAAAAAAATCATAATTCCATTTAGTTTTTTTTAGAGCATTAAGCAGAATATTACCTTAATTATAATTCTTAACATGGGCTGCTACGGAAGAACAATTGTCTCTGGCAGTATTATGAATAACACAATATATTAGAACATAGACTCTGAATATTTAACCAAGGGGCTCAATATTGGCTCAAAATCTTAATGTGTTCACAGGCTTGTAAAGAAATCTTTAAAAATATATATTTTATATTCAAATATTATTTGAAAACATGTTTATCACAGCAGACCCATTGGTCTTTAATAATTGTAGCCTGTCAGCCATCGCTTTTGATTCAAGAAATGAAATATCTTGCTGAAAGCCAACCCATGAAATGGGGGAAAATGACTCCAGCCCAAAAAGACATCCAATTGTGAGACTGATAGCTTGTGTTTCACGGCTCAGTGGTATGAAACTGTTTACAGTTTAGTCTGAATAAAAGCCCCTTCACCTTCTGCAGCACCTGCAGCTCTGGACACTTCATGTGGCTAATGTTAACAAGGCAAACGGGAGTTGTGGTGTGTGATAAATCTGAACATAGCCAGAGAAAAGCGTCTCCAAACAGCCCTCCCCTCCTGATGAATGGACAAGTTTGCCAGAGTCCTTGAAGCATGGGGGTTACTAGGAAATGGCACCAACCTATCTGTCTCAATTGTGTTCAGTGGCCTGTGATTTCTATGGGTTTATGCAGGAATGTGTGTGTCTCTGTGTGTTTGTGCCTCAAAAAGAATAAATGCTGTGCAAAGCCATTACCTGTGTGGAATGGTGGCCCAATTATGAGGGTCTCCTTCAGCACGCAGCCTTGCAAAACCAAACTCCATGAAATTGATTACCCACACACCTGGATCTCATTTGTGACTATTTCTCCTTCTCTCTACTCTTAGGGGCTCTTTGCATGGTCCTGTCTATTTCAAATGAAGAAGAAACGATTGTTCGAAGATGAAAATATTCAGATATAAGATTTACATAATAAAACATTGGCCTAATTGATTAGAGAGAGAATAAACATCTACCCTGATTAATCAGAATTTAAATTCCAAATAAATTACGCATAAACATACATATGGAGAGATTATACCTTACTTTGGAATTTTGACTGAATAATTGACCAAAGAACCTCTTCATATTGTAGAAGGTTCATATGGAGAGATTATACCTTACTTTGGTTCATAGGTTCATAAATCGTTGGGTCTCTCATTGGGTTGAAGGTTCCAGGCACAAGGACATCATTCGAGAGCAAGTGCAATGCTTGGCTGCCTCTAAATATATAGAGATGTTTTTATGGCTGCTACTGACCTCAAAAGTATATGCGATATATACATGGAAATGATTTGTTAAGACCAAATTGTCTTTTTATTTATTTTTTTTTCTGTAGTGAGAGATCATCAACGTAGCAGTGGAGGTTTCTGCCTTTGATCTTATACTTTACTGTATATTTTTGGATCTATTTTAACAAGCTCTCGGTTTTCACTCACTAATCCTTCTGGGATTCAGATAAACAAGCCTGCAAAAATCTCTGTGATCTGCTGTTGACCTTTGTCTCTCAATGCCAATATCTCTAGGGGCAAACTTCACTCTGCATCTCTCAGCCCTTCCGCCAGTCTGATCCTACCTTCATCGCTGACTGACTACCCAGTAGCTACGCATACATATCTCTGCTAATGTTACAGGACTTTCCCCTCACAGTGATACCTTTGAGGCATGTAGGATGACAACAGAGTCAAGTCAAATGGCAGACAGATGTCTTGCATCGCTGTTTAGAGCAAGTGTGTAGTGAGAAGCTGGGCCCAGTTTTCTGTGTTGAGCTGAGGTCTTTTTCACGTAGATTCACTGGAATGTCTAATTTCCGACCCAGTACAGATTTCGCAAGAGGCCTTGGTCTTGCCTGTTGGTTCAATAGAAAAGACAAATATGTACAAAACCTCTCAATAATAATAGATGGCTGTAGCATAAAACTATCAGAGCAGCAGTTATTTCACCTTTTCAGAGCTTGGGTAAGAACGATTTCACACTGGTGTAGTACTATGTGCATTTTTATGTGAGGTAAGGAAGAAGTCACGCACTGGTAGGTCTGACACAACAGTAGCTGCTGATCCTGCTTTGGGCTGACTGCAAGGCGACCTCCCCTGTCTCCCCTGACTGTTGTTTTGCATTCTTCATAATTAGAAGCACCGAAGCATGCCAGGCATTCCTAATAGAGGTGTTTTACACTAGCGGCTGACACCATCACTCAATGTGAAGCCAATGGTCCTTTCCCAAAGGTCAACAACTCAGGCTTCACCAGCTCTGAGTGGCCTCCTTCCCAAAGATGGGGAGGCCCTCCTGTCAGTGTGACAAAGCCACACGCCTCCTTCTTTGTTCCCTCCTCCTTGCCCTACCTCTGTGGACCCTGACAACCCACGCTGGAGCTCAGGACTAGTTAAACCAGGACTCCCTAAAGAGATGAATGACTCCACTGCTCCCTGTACCAATGAAGATGAATGCTAAGCATGAATTATTAAGGGCCAGAGCAAAAGGGAATATTTTGATATTGGAACCCTTATGAATAATTCCAGGGCTACCCCAAAATGAATTACCTTGTTCTCTATGTAATGCAGAAAACGATACAGCTCTGCATCCCCAGAGGTTCAGGTGTAGTGGAAGGGGACGTTTGAGGCAATATACTAGTATAAAATCCATGCCAAAAGGATATCTGGGAGCACGAGGGAGCCTGGGCAGCAATGTATTTGCACAGAGTGGGATTGCATATTTCTTTTGATCTTCTGGTCAAAAGTCCATGGAGAAGCCAGGATGAGAACTGGGGGGTGGGGCGTGTAAAGGGGACTGCTATGGATGGGATGCATGGATTATGGTGGTATGTCCAATTATCCAGCAAGCAAAGAGACAGGGAAGGCAAGCCAATTAGAGTAAAAAAGAAAAAGACCCCTACCACAGAGACAGGCAGACCAAGAGACTCTCTCTCTTGCTCTCTCTCTATCTATCTCTCTGTCTATCTATCTAACACTATTGCTAGTGCCGTTAAGGGCAATAACATTTTATCTTATCGGTAGTTTTAGGAACTAGTTACCATGACAACAATCATAACATTACAGGCAGCTTCATGATTCATGTTACTGCACATAGTTTAACATGAGAAATGCAAAGGGTTTACACCCACCCGTAATGCTCTCATTGGTAGAGACAAGTGATGATGCCAGTCCCATGCTAGTGGGACCCATGATATGTCGTGCTCAGAGCTAGTGAGCAATGGACTTTACATATATAGATAAAGGGAGTGATAGATTGTGCGGAAGATCTTTCTATTTTTGCGTGTTATCCAAAGCTTTTTGACCTTTTAATGGGCTAACTGGTTACATGTCAGGACATAACTGTTTAGTTCCTAGAAGTTGGGGAAATATGCTGAACTGTAATATAATTATCTTTCAATGCACTATTTGTTGACAGAGAGCTCAAGTAAAATGATAATTATAACCTTAGAGAAACTGCAGTCAGCCAAATCCTCCGCTGAAAATAGCTTGATGGGCTTATTACTTAATAAAAATGTCACAAACCCACCTCGACTGAATCTTCAGGAGTGGTCGCCAGTGCCCATGAGGTTTACTATAATTTGCAGTGAGGCCACTATAATTACCTTCAGTCTTAACGCTACTTGTCAAAGTGATGGGAAAATAAATCTGGGGGTAAACAAAGAAAAAGACAAAGTCCTCTTTTTGCCTGTACAAAGACATTTTGTATTTCCATGAGTTCCTAATTCTCTGTTAAGTGGAAAGACTCAGGATAAATTCCTCATCCTGTGATTCAAAACAAAATAAAAATGAACAATTGTTACTTGTTAATGTTTAACAGTGTAAAGTTAATTGTATTTTTTTTAATTCAGGTTTATTGGTTGATTAAATATTTTATTTTAATGAAATTTTCTGATTTAATTTTCAGTACAAATTGTTGATAGTGTTAGGTAAGAATGGACCACCCCACAAAGCCCCTTTCTGATGCAGCCATGCTTTTATTTTTTTCTTGTTTTTCCTCCTTACTCAATACAAACTCACACGCTACATTAAGCATTAGCTGGACTGTACACCAACTGTACACTAGGGTCGGCTGTGTGCTGCCTGTGTGGGGCAGGACAGATGGCAAAATCTGCAGCAGGTAAACCTCAGTGAATTTAGCAGGTGTTGGTCATTCATGTGAGATAACCATGACACAAAATGCCTGAAAGTCGGTATTGTGAGAGCAGCTTTATTTCTATAAAAGATTTTCCAGTCAATCATCTTCCTCTGTGCCTCGATGGTGTAAACTGATTGAACAGTCACTTCAGGAATGTCCTGGGACAATGTCTCATTTGAGTCTTGTTGGGTTTTGAACTAAACTCTGTGGTAAGTCCAAACAGTGGGTTTTGTTGTTTTAGACAAACTATATAATTTCTGACACCACAGGAATGAAGCGATAACTTTAAACTGAGACAATGCTCTTCTGCTCCTGCCATCTGACTGCCAGGAAACCAACACTGCTTGCATTAAAGTTCACAAAGGTCCACACCCAATCATCAGCATGCCATCCATTTTAGACACCTGCATGATGGATCATCATTTTGTCAAGAGCCCACAGGACATGACCAGCTATCATTAAAGCAGCAGCCTCCATTTTTGTCTGGTGAGAATGGTGCTCTCCGATACACAGAAACTTCCAAGGCTTGAAAGAGTTCAGTCTTCTAGTCTTACAGCTACAAAGAGCCCCACAAGCCAATAATTATCCATAGGTCCGCTTCACACGCTCGTCTTCACCCCTGACCTTTTTTACTCACCACTACTTCCTGTGAGTGTATTGATGGTCTTGTTGTAAATGGCCCTTTCATCAGAGGAGCAACAGATGTGTAATACATGCAAAGCCATTACTGCCCCTTTGTGTTTAAATGCATCATAATTTTGGAGTTAAACAGACAAAGGTCAAAAGGGCACTCTGGACTGACCTGCACTGGCCAATGGTGCTCAATCAGCAGTTAGTCTTTAACAAGTGTTTCCCAGGAAAGATAGCGTTGCCCTAGTGAGGGGAGGTCCCATGATGTGCAGTACAACCCATTTTATAACAAGTCATTATATGAACCAGAAGTTACAGAGAGGACAAGGTCATTAGGTTTTCAGTTTCCGTTTGCATCAGCCTTTCAATCCCTGTACAATGAGGCAATTCAGAAACCTTAAACATGAAGCATACTGCAGATATTACAGGAAAGAAAAGGACAATGTGTTGTTCTATTGAATTTAGTTCAAATCAAACAGGAAACTCTTGTGTTTGTGTGTAACATATGTTACAAATTGTGATAAGAGAGAAGAGACACCATTTTAAGAGACACTAAGAAAAGGAGTTTAATTACTGCAGGCACGCAGATGGGTTCTGTGTAAATCACAGGAGCAGCAATCTGTTCAATGTGCGGATGTGGATTTCAAATGGGGACATCAATAAAAATTTGTACAAAGTCTGAAAACACATTAAGAACTGTGGTTATAATAATAAATCAATCTGATTCTACGCTGAGGCAAATTTGCTGTTAGCAATTACTAAGCTATATGGTGCATTTACTCAGAGTCATTAATCACCAAACATGATGATTTATGCAAAACCAAATTGCCCTAATAATTCCAGCCCCTTCCCCTGCATTAAGATGGCATCATAAACACTGAACACGGATTAAACAAAATATATTAGCACAGGAGGGGCATCAGTAAAAGCCAGGATTGCTAGGTGGCATCAATTCAAATTAGTCTGTGCTGATTTTACGGCTTAGGCGTCTGCCTTTTGTTGACTGCAGCTTGAAGAAGACCATGGACTGTGCATCCTTCTGATTGTAATCTGTGGATGACCACAATCAATGAAGACCTCTATTAAGCAGATCAATGGAGGACAACACGAGGTGAATTAATCACACGACTGTAGGTTTGTAAATGTGTCTATCTGTATGCACACACACACACACACAATCTGGATGTCTAAAAAGTATGTTCATGAAAAATTCACTAATCATTTTAAGATTACATCATTAATAACTGGGGTATTTGTATATTCGAAGAATGCAGCATTGTGAAAATTAACAAAATAATCAGATGCTGTGCAATGATAAACGAAGGGAATGGAATCAAATAAAAAGTCAAAAGGCAAATAAGAGCAGCAGTATCCTTTCATTGAAAGCTGGTCTGGAAGACATGAGAGTAGAGAATGTATCTTACTAATCCTACCAAATTAAAGGCATAAAAGAGATTATGTCTACCAAAGCTCTCACTTCTAAGCCAGTAAACTTTTGGCCTCTCTAGTCTGAAATTGACTGATTTCTGTTTACAGAGACGTTTTTTCAAATCCTTTAATTTTCGCCAGCAATGCAGAAAAATAACACAGATCAGATGTCTGTATAAAAAGGTTTTTGCAAAAGCAAGATGAGATTTTCATGTTAGCAATGTCTTAAATCTCATGCAGAGAAATGTGTGCAAACACACAAATTATTTGCACGAAAACAATTTAACCCAACTCTTTATCACCATCACACAATGTAATCCTCACAATAAGCCTATGCCCCAGAAGATGGTGTGTTGATGATTCACCTAGAGAATATAGTCCATGTATTATGGGGTATGTGTGTAAACACTTCTTAAATGCATTAACCTTGCTTAAACGCCAGTCCAAATATAGTACAGTATTCAGAGGGCTGTTTAGTGCCAGCTTAACCTTGCCTTCATCCTTGGGAGACTTTTAAAATAGAAGAAAAAAATAACTTGTTCACTTGATGCATATGTTTGACACACATGTATTTTGACCTAGCTTTATAGAAGAGCATGTTTAGGAGATGCTATTTAAAACAGCTTGAACAGCAATGTGTGGAGCACTGCATTCACTATTTTAAGTCATGAACTTTCACCTGTTGACGACGCAAGTTCTAACCTCGCAAAAAGTTCCAAAGCTCCTTGAACCTCCAGCTGCAGTGTTATACTTGTTACTGAAATACATGGGAACAAGTGTTTAGTCACTGCATTGACATCACTGAGTGAGTAAAATGCAAATGTGAATCTTAATGACATTAGCTTTAGATTGTAAGTGTGATCCGTGTGCATCATGGATAATAAACAAATTTTAAAAAATAATTTTTCTCATGTTACAGTGGTGATGATCAACTAGTGGATCCTGGGCCAAATCTGACCCATCGAGTCACACAATCTGCCCACGACTTAAGATACATCAAAATGTGATTTTTATAATATTTTATTTGAGTGTAAGTCTGTATTTGTATTAAGATGTTTCTCAGAATTCAAAAGTAGAATATAAAGACCCTAATACACATCTCATACACCGAATAGTGAGAAAATACTGTGCCAGTGAGTGAGGCACGGATCGCTTCTTCGCTCTGATGTAACTGCTAACAGTGAACAGTGTAAATTGGTGTACACTTGACACCCGATTGGATCTCCTCACACTGGGGAGAGAAAAGAGAACGGCAAGGAGAGACTGCAGAACAAATAACCTGAAGCACTGCTGCTTAAGAACAAATGACTGCTGCAAGGAGCTGCAGTGGAAAATGAACCAGGAACCTTCATCTGCAGCAGGTAATGACAGAGCAGTGGCTCAAAAATGACTGGGTGTGTAGAAATAGTGAAAGACGAGTGAGTTTAAAGAGGGAGAAATAGAAACGAAGAATTTACAGATGCAGTGTCATTAGTGGATTTTATGACTTTTTTAACCCTCGGAGGCGTGGGGGGTATCATCAACTTTATGTTATCGATATATCGCAAATAACACGAGATTCGAGTATCGATTAATTAATTCATAAAGTATCAATACTAATTCATAAATGTGCATTGTCAATTCCACAAATATTAGTATTGAGAAAAAATTTGCCAAAAAAGTAATTGGTATCATATTGAATAATAAAATTAAAAAACATTCGGTATCGCGCATTAGTAATAATTAGTCCTGCAATAAGTAATAAGTAGATATTGAATAATAAAATTAAAAAACATTTGGTATCGCGCATTAGTAATAATTAGTCTTTTGTTCTCCATAAAGTAAAAAAATACCTGCCAAATACCGGTTGGCAGAGGAACCCTATCCTCAAAGTAACAGAAAATGTCTTGTTTTTCTTACAACTGCACAAGGTTTATCATAAGTGACACATTCAATGTCTGTGAAAGAACAGTAAACACTGGGTCATCATTACTTACAACAATAGTGCAGGGGCCATTACCAACACTTTAAACCTCTGTCATAGTCTTTGCCTTTCTCATACCCTTTCTTTTTATTCACTGTTTCTTGAAAAATGAAGAGGCAGATGGTTTGTTTTAAGAGGATTAACCCAACGCCCTCACCCTGACCCAAATGTATTGGGGCAAATTATGAGGTAATTTATCTGACAGAGTTGAAATGACAGGGGAAAAAAATAGAAAACATAATGTTCGACACAGCACATACCGCACTCCTCTTATAAAATCTTAACTAAAAAAAAAAGATAAATTTTTCATGAACAAGACATAACATTCCGTGTTGACAAACACTGTTAACACCATAACATACATAAACCCAATTCCTCGATGCAAATGTCTACACTAATATGCCTACGTCTGCAAACTGCAAAAATAAATGTGCTGTCAATCAGCGTTTATATAATCATTTTTTCATGCCTGACATGTTGGAACCTATATAAGCCGAGTCAGGCTGAGAAGATAAATGTGACAGCGGCTGCTCAGGACCATAGCTAACGTTTACCGAGTCACCGTTAGTCTGGTGTTAAAGTGGGAATATGGTCCAGTGATTTCATGTTCCAGGTGAAGGCTTAGATCATTACATTCAGTTACATTACAGCAGCTGCTGACATCCACTTACTGAGCACTACAACAAATATGACAAACAACCTCAAGAAGGTCAGTGGAAGAATACCACACTTGAGATTTAATGTTTGAAAAAAAAAAAAAAAACAGGTCAAAAATATTTGTTTATGTGCTGTACGATGACTCAACACATGTTTATGTTGACTGATGCAGCATTTCGCAGAGAGCAAACACTCTCTCAGTTTTGGCCCCTGATCAGCTCCTCAATAGCAGCTGCTAGGGAAGTAAGAAGCATACTGAAGTAGGGTGGTGGATAAAAAAAACATAAACTAACATGAAAAAGCCCACGAAGATTATCAACGTTGTCAAAGTGCTCCCCCTATGAGTAGTTTTGTTAGGGACTTAAACTGTACTGCAGTTTACTTTGTGCAGCTCACATGAATTACAACCCATTATGGATAAATGATCTTTATACAGTAGATTGCTCTTGTAAAGATAGCTCAGGTCATAAGGCCAACCACAGCAACAGATTTCACTGCTTTATAGAGTACATGAACGCATCAGTAGAAACAGCTCACTGGTCATATAAATGATGGGCAAGGTTAAATGGTTAACTTTCATCAGTGGACCTGACCATCAGTGTGTTTTTTTTTTCTCCTGTCCCTGTAAGACATAAGGTTCTGAAATAACAGAACGATTCCACACATGCAGGAACCCTGGAAGATATTCCATTGATAGATGAAGAAGGAAGACGTCTGATATTCAGCTAACAGCAACCAAGAGGGACCAATTAGTTATTACAGAGCACAATCATTCACACTTAGGTGAAGATAGTGATTATCTTTCAGCACTACTTGATTTATCTGGGTTTGTGTGTACGAGAGGGGGGCAGGGGTGGTGCATCAGACTTTGAGGTATGGTGATGAAGTGTGGCAAACAGACCTTATTAACAAAGAGTAAAGCTTGGAGGCCCTACTCGCCCCATCTCCACCAAAAGCAACAAAACAAACAGGATGACCCCGCTTTAACCCTGGCACTGACCATCCATCACGCAGGAGAACACAACCATGCAAACACACACACACTAGGTCTACCCTGTGGAGAGATTCATGCTGCTTCAAAGCATTAATAGTTCCAGCTCAAGTATAGTTCATACTATGAGGAGTCCAACAGTGGTTCCAAAGTTCGCCAGGTATTTTTTTCTTTTCTTTTAATTTTTGATGTGAAAAATTACCTGTAATTGACTCTAAAGGTTTTAGTTGGAACATTTATTAACCTCCCTTTCTGTTACGGGCTAGAATAGAGAGCGTGGAAAATGTTCAAATTTGCCTTTATTTAACACACAGTATAAGGAGGTAAATCATTCAAAACTAACATATCTGTCTTGAATTTAATTGCAAATGTGTTTATTGCTATGGCGGTTGAATGGAACCTTCTTTTTACAAAACAGCAGACCACGAGATAAAAGGTTCAAAACTTAGACAGTCAGACATGGTCAGTAAGGCAGAGGAAATCCCTATCATTTGTCTAAGGCCACCAGACGTATGTTCAAGCTCAAGCTCTCCCCAACTCTCAATTTGCTTCTCTGACTAGTTTAAGGTTCACGAGGAGGTGAGGGATTCTTACCCCCCTACCGCTCAAGTGACCCCCTTGCTCTCAATGTGTATCGGTGCAACAGATCCCCTAAGGGAATGACCTCTTAGTCCAAAACACACATGCACACAGAAATGTTGCTTTTATGGGCTTTGCAGGTGTGGCAACACAGTCCGGCGTACACCCCCCCAACGCCATCACTTCCCCCAACACCATGGTCTTTATAGATAAACAATGTTATGATTTAAAGATCTGAGCTTCATCGCTCACAATAACAAAATTATAAAAGCCAAAAAATGCTAAGTAATGTGATCTTAAAAAAGGTGCTACAAAAGTAGAAAAATCCAGCTGCATGATGGGAGGGCGTTAAAGGGCATGGGCCAGGATGACCTGGGACGACCTTGTGATGCTCAGAACAATCAGTCAAAATGGCAGAGCAACTTTAAATCACCAAACACTTCACTCTTCTCCTTTTGTCCTAACACTTGTGATGATGGATATTTCGCAGTTGGACGCTGTGTAGGTCATGCAAGTATTACCACAGACTACTTTTCCTTAGCCTCTGTAATTGTCCTTGATGTTCAAACAAACTTTTATTAGAAAGCTTGTAAAACAAGTTAAGCTTAAATTTGAATTAGAAATTATTTCACCGTGATCTAACACGCTCGGTCACAGTTTAGTGCAGTCTACTGAAGAAGAATCATCTTACCTACAGGACACCACATATTGATTGGGCACAGTTTTAATGCCGGAAGACCTTGCTGTCGCAACCGCACAGGGGTCCTACCTGTGTGCTACTTTAGCCCCTTAGTGCAGTATTTATTATTGTGCATTCATTTTCTTCCTGCAATATTTAAGAGTATTTTTTTTTTTGTTAAGCAGCCATTGTAGTGGCCAATTTGATTAGACAACTGACCGAGATTTTGTGCAAAAGTCAAACATGCATAAAAGCCAACTAATTGAAAACCCACATAGTTTAATTCTGTCCCTGAAATGGGCTACAGGACTGGTACCCTCAGTGCATAAGCAACGACAGATAATGCAATGCAGAGCAGGACATTTCAATTGATTTTCACCATCATCAATCAATAGCTGGCAGTATTAGGTGTGCTCATCCATGGAAATGACGTGTGATTGGACCACCGCATGCAGAAACAGAGGTGTGCCCAGACACAGCTGCGTCTTCTCCTAGTGCTGTGGCAGCAGCCTGTACTGTGCTGTGGTAATGAGGGGGCAAAGGGACAGGCAGTTCACCAATGGAACTGGAGCCGAGGGGCTAAACATGAGAGGTCGGAGGATGTGGAGGGCGTGGGCTGCATACTAAAGAGTCATGAATTACAAATTCAATTACTGGCAATTTTTGTCAGACCCATCAAGCCTAATAAAACTGCCCTCTGATCCAAAACCCTGCTGAGCACACAAAATCTACAAGGAGAATCCTGCATTTCTTAACGTCTCCATCAAAAGCAGTACGAGTTGACATTAACTGCCCTTGTCACCTCTAGTAGAAAAGGAAGACTGGAGGAGGTGATTTCTATCAACACAGCAGCAAAGCTGTGGAAGACAAAAGAGGGAAAAAATCTTATGACAGCAGCTGAAGATAAGACGATGAATTTTAATAGCAGAATGATATCTAACACTAACCTAAAGATACTTGACATTGGAAGAAGGAGAAGAAGGGGTGAATATGTACTTTTTTGTACACAGTCCTCAGGACTGTGGGGTTAGCTGACAGCTTGGGCCCATCACTGAGATGAATGGTTCTGTCCTAACCAAGGCCTTTTAATTAGCTCCACAAGCTGCCTTTTATAAAGGATACACACACACACAACACACGCACACAAACACACAGGCATGCAACCACACATATATGTGGTGTTATGTACATGTGTTCAAAAACGTGCCCACAAGCAAATGCAAAGACCATGAAAAAAAATACAAATTTTAAGGTTTCAGAGAACTTTGACTGTATTTGTGAGACTATTCTTCATCCTTTGTGCTCACGATTAAATACCAGCAACATCAGTTCACCACAAATACCTTTGATGAACCGCAGCCCCCACTTGCATATAACCAAAAAAGGTGGGCGTTAAGAAGTCGTTTCCGCTGGGTAAGATCAATCCATCATCATTTTAGTGGCAGGAAAACTGGGGGTGTGTGGGTATGGGGAGTCTTTGGGGAGAAGAGCAGGCTGGTAACCAGACGGCTGCCATCTAGGCAGGAGCGAAAAGCACTCCCCCACCTCCTCCTCCTCCTCATTCCTCTCCTCCTCCGCACATGGTTGGGAACGAAGAGCCTCATACTCCATTAGAGCATGGGTGGGGTTATAACAGGGCTTGTGAAGACCAAGCCTGTTCCAATTACAGAGTGACTGATACCAGATGATGAAGCTTGCGGCAACTCACATTAAAATCCACCATATCCGCAGCATCTGCCCAGATGAAGGGCTACAGAGGGACGACTGAGCTCCATGCACATACAGTACCATCCAATTACTGGGACTGCTATCTATCTAGCATCAAGACTGTGGCTGGAGAGAAAAAAAC